TTCCAAACAAGTTTTTTTTTTTTTTGGTTTTTCATGAATTCAAAAGGTTCAACGTCACAAAAATAACAGGGCATAGAACCGAGTTCCAAGTTCACTACCTTATTCCAACAACACACTCTAACATGCAGACAGATCGAGCGCTAGAGATAGGCAAAAATCCTCAAAGGAAATCGAATGCGGCTCTCCAATCGAGAACAACATCGGTCATCACGTCAGCTCTTCCTCTGGTAGCCAATCGTGTCAGCAGTCCTGAACGAGTTCCACTTATCTGCATTGCCCAGATTTCGCACCTCGAGGTTTAGGCGAGAGGTTTCTTTCATCGAAAAGACCTCGATCACGTCTTCGGGTATTTCCGCTACGTCTCGGCGTTCTTAGAGATAGACAATGTCGTCACTGTAGAATTACAACCAGACATTTCGTCGCAGTCGCCATTAGCACGAAAAGAATCACTATTCGACTGCAGATATTCTCGTCGGGTTCCAGAGCCCGTTTTGATACGTCCACTCCTCCATCTTCGGCTGACGGTACATCGGCTTTGAATCAGTTTTCAATGATTTTGCAGTTGCCCTCAGTTGATTGAACAGGTCTTCACCTCGCGATAGTAGTGGATCCTACTTCATCGGTTAGGTTTACGGTTGTCGATGTGCAACATTCTCTGCCATGAAATAGATTGACTCCTCCGGTTTTCAGGTTGGTTGCAACTCGCCTTGCTCGTCTAGTGGCCTTCTTTGTTGATCCTCCGGACTACGCCTAGATGCACCCAGATGATTGGTACGTCTCAGAAATGGCCTAATTCGCCATCGATAATTATAAAAATTAATTGTTTCGGATGAATGGAATATCCAAACCCAACTAGAAGAATGATATAAGACAAGTAGAAAGCTGGAAATACTCGTCTTAAATGGTACATCAGGTCGTAAAACTTGACCTCGAAAATCCAAGCGAACATGAAAAAAATGATAAGGGTTTTTGAAGGCTTTGCAAAAGTTCAAGGAAGTGAAAGATTTCTCCCGAAGGCCAAAACGAAATAAAAGAATGAAAATTTGTCAAAGTTACAATGAAACGCATGTTCGAGAATACAAGCGGCTCTACGCTTCACAATGCACATGCTTCAGGCTCGACTACCCTCCTTAAAAGATCTTTCATAATCCTTTAAGGTAAGACACCTTCCTTGAATTAGTCGACGACTCCCAATCGGAGAAAACTGTTTCCGATGCGTCATACGATTTAATCACAACAAGATAGACCGTCGCTAGTCTCCAGGCCAAGATACCATAGTGGCTTGCGCCGACCTTTGCTTTCTCGAGTGCACGGACTCGGAGTTAATGCAAACAAAAGTTACAAACCTTGCGACAAATAAGGTTTAGCAGAAAACAAATATGCTTATCCTTCTTCGTACACAAAGTCTCTAAACAAGGTTAGTTCCAAGTATCAAATACAGGAATTGCACAACAGTTGAAAGATACATCACGGATAATGGAAAGATTAATAGATAGCACACGATCTCGATTTCTCCGGTCAGTTGTCCACTCTTGCTCAGTTTATCCTCGTCCTAAGCGAGAGCATATACACGGAATTCTACCTCTGTATTGGCCTAATGTCGAGCAGAAGAGTTCATCCCCGTGAGGGTTCAACCACATTCGTCCACCGTTGATCCTATCTGGAGTAGATCGCCAATTTCCTTCATTCGTACTTGAGATGAAACGACACAATCCTCTTCTGACCTCAATGCCAGTAGTCAGCATAGCAAACTATAACAGAATAGCTAAATTAGGACTCTGCGTATACTGTACGGTAGATCCACTTGAGTTTACGAAGTCATTCCGTCAAACTGTCAGCTTTCGCGGTCAACGCTCATAATCCACGCAATAAGAGTAGCCATCGCTTTCCTCGAGATTTCGCCATCCTCAAGAATCACGTTAGCAATGCTTAATCGATCATCAAAACTCTTGGCTTTGAATGACAACACATCCGAAGCACTAAGTTCCAATCCTCACACTCCAATGATGGGATTTCACCACGCCTCCTCTGGTCCACTTGTCAATTGCCCAGACGTTCGAATGATCCCGCATATTCGGGATCTCTCGATTGTCTAATTTCGATGGGGCATCCTGACGTTGGTCACCAGAAAGCTATGCTGCCTAAACGCTAATCTCATCTATCGACAAGATAGCTCGCACAAGGTGTTAACTCGAAACTTACAGAGAGAAATTTCTAGAGTCATCACCAAACACTAGAGTTCAAATTATAACAAAGGTGGATAGTTCTAAGCCCCATATAAAATAAATAAAAAAAACAAAACTCATACCTCAAGCTGACGCGGCGAAACGAAAACGAGTGGTCGAAGGGTCATTAAACACACTAACATTAGAGATAGTCTACAGAAACGCAGACTAGCTCTGATACCATACTGTAACGCCCCATTTTATTTAAAGAATTTACCAAATTTATTTATAAAAAAGAGTTTATTTTTCGCAAAATCCCAATTAAAACTGTAACACTCAACGGGCGCTACTTAAACAACTAAAACAAATACACATTTACACAGACAAAATTTAACAGTTCAAAATGAAATTCTAATTATTCAAAATCCTCAAACCCAGTCATGCATAATTAATTAATTCAACGGAAAATCCAAGGTCTAACCAACATGTCCAAAATAATTAAAGCGGAAGCATCATTATTCAAAGTTAAACAAATGATCTATCGAGATAATAAAAGCGGAAGCAAGTAACACACAATCCAACGACCACGGCTCGATCGTCTCTCGCTGCCGCCGCCAACCATGCTCAACCTAAAAGGTTAAGAAGAGGAACAAGAGGACAGAAAAGTAAATGGGGGTGAGTACAACCATCATACTCACCATTACCGCACAGTATATTTCACATAAAGATTCATAACTATAATTAATGTATGCATAGAATCCAGATCTAACTCCCTATTAGGCCCTACCGCAAACCTCCTATGTACATACAACAAACCTTCCGACCAGACGTCGGCAAGGATGTAACTGGAAGCACTCCCACCCCGGATGCAACGGGCATAGGATATTATCCAGGAGACAGTGAAGTTGAAATACACCTCCGCTCTACACGGATTCGAGTTTTCAGACAATTCCCTCCGCTCTACACGGATTCGGGCGCCCACCTCTCAGATACAACGGGCAGGTGACTTCCACTGATTATGCATTCGTCAAAGGCCCTACCGTCAGGACACTTAGACTAGGGTTCTCACGCATACGGAAGCCATCCGAAAAACATTATACGAAATAACAAGTGCGATAAATGTAGATTCAACATAAATGAACCCACCTGGTTGCGACCGGAATAAACACAAAATAAGGTGGGCGGCGAGCTCGACTCGTCAAACACCTACATTTAGTAAAATAATCTTATCAAAGACTATTATATAATCACTAAATCTAACTAAGTTCACGAAGTCATTTAATACACGTTAAAACAAAGGAAAACACATTTTCGAAAATATCACATAAGTTTTGAAAAGTTGACCCGGCAGGATTTTTAAAATCGACATAACTCTCAGCATATAACTCTTATGAACATGAATCAAGTTGCATTGGAATCCTAAGACATGAAACTACAACTATTATGAAGACACTGAAAACAAATAAGGTCATTTAACAGGTGATAAATCAACAAACATTGAAATTTTAGTCACAGTCCAAAATTGGGAAAATGCACTTGACCTGCCCTCAGTAATTACTCTCTAACTGGATCTACAGTCATTCTTTTAATAAAATTTAAAAACCACATGATAGAAAACTCAATTGTCTGCAACTTTGCTGAAGGTTACTTTGGCAAATAATCACATGTTTAATTAGTTTAAACATAAAACATTTGGTTCAGCAAATCTGTCAAAAACTAACATATGATATGGACAGCACTTCAGTTTTTACAACCTAGACCGAGCTACAGACCTCCAAATGACATGGTTCGAGTCTCAAATTAAACCTTAAGCATGACTCTAAAATTTGTATTTAGAATATAGAAACATTTAAGATCATTATGATAGGGTATAATCAGTTCACATTCCATATCAGATGTCTGCCAAAGTAATAAGTTTCAACTCATGCATGTCTAACTTCATACGAGCACAACTCAAGCTACAGAGCACGTATCGACAAGAAATTTAACTCATTTGAAAGGTAAGAAACAGATCTATAACTTTCATGAAGAGTATAAGTTCATACGAGCACATTACAATATGATAAATAGGTCACACATTAAATACAGATATGCTGCCAGGTAGCAGGAAAACTGAACGCACACAAATCTTGTAATAATCATAACTTTATCGATATAGCTCGGAATCGAGAAATTATAAATCCCAGATTTATGAAAATGAATATAATACATATCTCATGAAGATTAAAATTTCAAATATTCAGTCTTTGGTGGCTCAAACAGCAGCACAACAGAACAACGATTAACGTTATTTCACATAAATATCAATGACTTATATAACTAATGTTCTAAGATCGACAACGGTCAATATACTTTCTCGACAGCAATTAAACGAGTATATTGAGGTTCAACACAGCAACAACATGATACTCAGTTTAACGAAGTCACGAGTATAATACGATAAACGAAACGACATGTACGAGCCGATGACAATTCTAACCAAATTCCGACTTCAAACAAATAATCGATAATACACATGATATGTATATAGCTATCATGTAATATACGAACACGACCGGAAAAACAAGAGGGTTCGAATAAGTTACTCGTTTTCGAAAATTCACGAGCTAACGGAGGAAAAACGGACCGAACGACCGCTCGGCCGAACGGGTCGGAAGTTGGCTCGTGAACGGGACTCGGAGTAACGAAAAGGGACCAAAAGTGGCCGCACGCTAGCTTCACGCGGGCAGCAAACTCGCCGGAAATGAAGTCGGGGCTGCTGGTTCACGCCGGGAGCTCGCCGAAAAAAAAACAGCGAAGGAGCAGTGATGACGAGCGGTTGTTCGCGGGGATAAGGGCTCGTCGGAATGAGAGATCGCGGACAGCTTGCCGGAGTTGCTGGGTCGTCGTGCAGGGAGGAGACCTATCGGAGGTTGCTGGCGCCGGAAGTTGCTGCGGCGAAGAGAAGCAATGGCGGCCGCGGGCTGAGCGGGGCTCGCGGAGGAGCAGCGGTGACCAGCTTCGGCGGAGGGCTGTGGCTCTGCTCACCGGTGGAGGAATGGTTGTCGAAAGCCTGCTACTCGACGGAAATGAGCGCACGATTAACACGCACACACACATTCACATATTAATTGAACCGGATTTTTGGTTCACGCAGGTATAATCGGGCTCGATTAATCGGACGATAAAATAAAATAATAACGGGGTAATATTTATTTAATACATACTTTATTTTTAATATAATTAAAATATACAATTAGACAGTTAATTACAATTAGATAAACAATAATATTTAGACATTTAATTTGGCAAGCAATAATATTAATAACAAACAATCTCGACTAATCCACTTCGAGAATAAACAGACCAGAATAAAATTTTAACACTAGCCCGATTACTAAATAGAATTTAACCGAGAATATATATATATTATCCACCTAATAATATAATATATATAATCACATAATCAAAGAAAATAAAAAAAATCTAACATTCAAATGGGGCATTATAAAATAAATAATTATTCCGGAAAAAATGGGGCGCTACAGGGGTAGATAAAGAGGGATGTGAGCAAGGGCTTAACTCTGAAACCCTAGATAAGGGTATATTGATCCTAAGGCCTGCATAGGATGTAGATCCTCTGAGGTCAGAGAATTGTGAGGGTAAAGGGGAGGAGGTTAGGTGGATGGGTGATAAGGATGTCTCAGATGAAGATCGGAATGATTCTCAACTCATGGACACTATTGTCCAATCAGCCACTATAGGTGGGAGGGTTCTTCAAAGGAAGAAAAAATCATTTACTTGAAAAGCCAAAAACACTGATAAAAATGTGAGAAGGGTTGAGAGTAGCATTGCTGACCAAGGGGGTAGATCCAGGATTGATGTGAAAGCTAGTGGTAAAAGAACTCTTGATAGTTGTGTGGAACCTAGTCTGGATGAATCAATAGGAATCTTAGCAGCAAGAAACAACATGTCAGTCTCTTTGGCGGAGGAAACCAGGCATAACTAGTCCCAGGGTGATCAATGAAGGTTTCAGTGTGGAATTGTAGAGGATTGGGGGGGGCCCCTCTACAATTTCCCAAATCAAAGATTCTTTAAAGACTAACCTCCTAGATTTTCTATTTCTGTCTGAAACAAAAAAAAAATGAAAAAAAAAATTGTGAAAACTGTTTGTAGGAAATGTAAGTTTGAAGATAGGCGGGTAGTTGTTAATCCAGTAGGGTTTATGGGATGGATTTTTCTTTATTGGTCTGTCAATATTTTGGTGAAGAAGATCCTTTGTTGTGAGTTTTGCATTGAAGTTCAATTCAGGTTCAAGAATTGTGGTGTGTCCAAATGGGGGGTATTTATGTATGTAAGTACCAATCCATCTATTAGGATATCTCAGTGGAATTTTCTTCTGAGACATAGTATGATGTGGGGAAACTCTTGGTTCTTGGGAGGGGATTTCAATGATATCCTCTCCAACCAAGAGAAATGTAGCGCCCCATTTGTTCTGGAATAATTGGATATTATTATTTGGCATTTATTTTATTTTTCAAATTATTTATTCGAGCTCGATAATTTTATTTCGACTATATGCTCATAATTGTTAATTGTATTAATTTTATTATCGAGCCCTCATCGGAGAGCTTCTGTCAGGTTTCTTCTTTATCAGTGCGAAGTCGATCTAATCCAGGGTGCAAACTTATGTGCGATACGGTGATTTGTTGGACTGTTTTAGAGTTTATGGCTGAAGGAAGTTCGATGCCCCCAGCTGAGGAAGTTGAACTTCGATTGAGGGCCTTCTCTTTATCGAAGGTGGAGGACAGTATTATCAATTTAGGGAATGAAGATGTTAAGACTAGCATTGAAGAATGTCACAAAAGCCTATTCGGGAAGCTGGTGGGGGAAAAGAGGGGTAATCTTATGGGCATCAAGCGAGCTATGGGACTCATCTGGAAACCTAAAAATTCAATGGAGGTTCGTGAATTAGGTAAGAAATTTTTCCAATTTATTTTTGAGAATGACGAGGATTTGAAACGAGTGGCAAGGGGCACAAATTGGGTGTTTGACAATCAGTACCTTATACTGAAAGGTTGGCAAGCTGGACTCCACAGCAATCATAGCTGCTTTAATGAATTGAGATTGTGGGTTCAGGTTCACCATGTCCCTCTGAATTGGCTTACATCAAAAGTGGGGGTTAAAAATAGAAAAGGTGTTTAAATCAGTCTCTAACGTGCTAGTTAGTAACTTGGGCAGTCAAGGAGGGAGATTGATTAAACTTCTGCTCACTGTGGATTTAGCAGAGCCGCTACCCTGTTGTGCTTCTATTAGGCTGGATCAAGATGTGGTATCAGTCACCTTTAAGTATGAACGACTGATCAAGTTGTGCTTTTATTGTGGGAAGGTTGGGCACATTGAAAAGGGATGTGGGAAAAGGGTGGAAGATGTGGAGAATCATTCTCTTAAAGAAGGCCAATTTGGGGGGTGGATGCGGGCATCAGAGGGATTGCTGGGACAAGGCTAGCATAATAGAAGTTCCTCCTATGGACAAACTAGAGAACCTGGCCCTTTCAATACTAACAGCAAGGCCCAAGGGAAAGAAGATACAAGGATTAATGGTGCATCTAATAGGATCACTAGTAGCTCTGGTCATAATATCACCCAGGGACAGAAGGTGAACTCTGGTTCTTCTCAAATGGGAGAGGGTGCTTCTTCAGCCTTGGGTAAGGGCGATTTGGTGTTGTATGATGTTGCACAACAGAGCAGAACCTTATGGGTGATTGCTGAAGAAACAACTCAGATAGGAGGTATGGAGGCTGATCAGATAGGGACAGTAGCTATTGTACCTATGGGGGAAGAGAACCTTCATATAAAAAATGAAGGGAAGACTGGTAACTCCAAGAGGACCTGGAAGAGGATTCATCCTAAAGAAGGAAGGCTCATTAGAGACTGTGGGGTAGTTATCAAAAAGGTTTCTAAGCAGCAGCTTTCTAAAAGACTGAGGGATGTGGGAGATCATCAATCTACTCCAATAGAAGATGACAATCCACAGATGACAGTGGACAAGAAACAGAAAATTGTATCAACTGAGGTGGAGAGGGCCAACCTTAAAGGGCCCTCCTGGGGTCAATGAGAGTTGTGGTGTGGAACTGTAGAGGTCTGGGTGGGCCCTCTACAGTTCCCCAGATCAAGGAGGCCTTAAGGATCCACCACCCACACTTTTTGTTTCTTTCTGAAATTTAAAAATAAAAAAAATTTACTTTCCAAGTTTGTAATAGATTGGGTTTTGTTAATAGCCAGTTTATTGTTGAACCAAGAGGTACTAGAGGGGGTCTTGTATTATGTTGGCAGTCAGAGGTGGAGATTAAGCAGGTGTATGGTCAAACTTTTTTTATTGTTGTTCAATTTAGGGAGAAAGGCCCAGAGGCTTAGTGTTGGGCATTATTTGTTTACCTCAGCACTTGCAGAAGGGAAAGAGCAGATCAATGGGAGTTTCTGATTCAAGAAAGAAGTGCTTGGGGAGATGTCAGTATCTTGGTAGGGGACTGGAATGACTTGCTGAGGCCAGAGGACAAAAGAGGGGGACTTAGGAGGACTGGTCAAAGTTTTTGGGGTTTTCAGCAATTTGTGTCTCAGATGGGTGTGCAAGAACTGCCTTTACAAGGAGTGCAAAGTACATGGGCCAATAACATAGCTGGGGAGGGATTTGTGGAGGAAGTGTTGGACAAAGGCTTTGTATCATTGGAGTGAGCTGTGAAATTCCCTTATACTCAGATCTTCAGTTGGTTTAGGAGTGCCTCGGACCACTGCATGCTTGTGGTTGATTCTCAGGGAGGTACAACTAGACACAAGAAAAGGTTTGTTTTTGACAAGAGATGGGTTGTTAAAGAAGGAGTTCAGGCCATTGTTAAGGAGGCTTGGGATGACTCTGTCTCTGGTACCCCTATGTTTCCTTTGAAGGAAAAAATTAAGAAGACCGGGACAGCTTTGATTAATTGGAGCAGGTATTTTCATTCTCAACCAGAATCAAAAAATTAGCCAGTTAACTATGCATCTTGAAGATATGAGGAAAGAAATTGGTGAGAGACATTGGGAAACCTGGGATAAAATTAAGAAGGAGTTGGATGAGGCTCATGTAGAGGAAGAAATGTTCTGGCAGCAGAAGTCCAGGGCTTTGTGGCTCAGGGAAGGGGACAAGAATTCAAAATTTTTCCATGCTTTTACAGCTCAGAGGAGGAGGATGAACTCCATTGATAAGCTTCTGAATGATAGGGGGTCTGTGGTTGAGAGCCAGGAGGGGATTGAGAAGATCATGACTGATTATTATGGCCAGCTATTCTCATCTAGAGGTTTCTCATGTGGCCATAAATTCCTACCACTCATTCCTAAGACAATATCTGAAGATATGAATAAGGCTCTCACTGGCCAAGTTGAGGAAGATGATATCAGGCAAGCTGTGTTCAGCATACACCCAGAAAAGGCCCCAAGGGAGGATGGGATAACAGGGTTTTTCTTTCAACATTTCTGGCCTATTGTCAAGGGAGACATCTACAATGCTGTTCAATGTTTCTTCTCATCAGGGCAGATGTTGAGGTATTGGAAACACTCTTTGTTACACTGATTCCTAAATGTCCCAATCCTGTTTCCATTACTCAATTTTGACCCAATAGTCTCTGTCTGTCTTTTATAAAGTCATATCTAAGATATTGGCAGTCAGATTAAGAGAATGCCTTCATGTATGTATCTTTGAGAATCAGAATGCTTTTTTGCCTGGTAGACAACTACTTGACAATGTAGTGGTAGGTCATGAAGTGTATCATTTTTTGAATAGGCACAGACAGGGTAAGAATTGTTTTATGGCATTGAAGCTTGACATTATGAAAGCATATGATTGTGTGGAATGGAAAGCAATTCAATTGACTATGATCAGTATGGGCTTTCACAGAGTGTTTGTAAAATGGATAATGGCTTGTATCCAAATGCCAACCTTTTCTTTCAACATTAATGGTCATTGCAGTGGCTATGTTTCAGCTTTTAGGGGAATTAAACAAGGGGATCCACTAGCTCCTTATTTATTCCTCAATATTTTTAAGTTGTTATCTGTCAAGATCAAAGATGAGGCTCAAAAAGGAAGGTTCAAAGGACTCAGGTTAGCCAAAGGGGGCCCCACACTCACTCACCTTATGTTTGCAGATGACACATTGCTATTCTAAAAAGCAGATGAAGTTCAGACAAGGCTTCTTGTTGATATTCTGAAGGACTTTCATGATTTTACTGGGCAACAGGTGAGTATGGGGAAATCCAGTGTATTCTTCAGCAAGAATTCCCCTGTGGAGGTTCAGAGTACAGTGTGCACCATGCTCAGAGGTATCACAAGGCACTCCTCTACCAGGTACTTGGGTTTACACTTTGGAATTGGTAAATCAGAGAAAGAAGCCTTTGAATATATTATTACTGTGGTGAGGACCAGGATCTTTAGTTGGAAGAATAAATGGCTTTCATCAGCAGGTAAGGAGGTTCTCATTAAAGTTGTACTCAATGCCTTACCTGTTTTTACCATGTCTTGCTTTGTGTTACCTATTGGTCTCTGCAGAGAAATCTCAAGTATTTGTGGTCAGTTCTGGTGGGGTAAAGGCTCTGAGTTTAAGAGAGGGATGCACTGGGTTGATTGGAACAAGCTGACTCTACCAAAAGCTCATGGAGGATTGGGATTCCAGGATATCCAATTTTTTAATATAGCACTCATTGCAAAGCAGCTATGGAAGATAGTCACAGAGCCAGAAAGGTTGGTCAGCAAATTGTTGTCAAGCAAATATTTTCCAAATTCTAACTTGTTTAAAGCCCAGAGGAAGCAAAGTTCTTCCTGGCTATGGAACAACTGGTTATCTGTGCTTGAGGTCTGTAGGAGCTGGATGTAAGTTCTGGTTAAAGATGGGAAGAGTGTCAAGGTGTGGGACCAACATTGGATACCTAACTTCATTAGCAGACCAGTGGGGTTGAGGGTAGGGGTGGATAGAAGGATTGTTTGGGTTAAGGACGTATTATCTGAGGGTGGCTGCAACTGGGATGAGGCTAAAGTGAGAGCTACCTTTGAACCAGACTTTTGCAGCTCCATTCTCAGTATTGATACCTTAGACCCAACTCAAACAGATGATTGGAGATGGACCGTGAGCAAACAAGGTATGTTCTCAGTCAACTCTACTTATGCTCATTTGATTACTGAAAAAGTTCTGAAACAAGGGACTCATCAAGGCAGTGACAGCTTCAGAACAGATTCTAAAGTGAGGGGTAGAAGTTGGAAGTTAAAGGTCTTTGGCAAGGTTAAACATTTTGTTTGGAGATGCTGTACAGGTACATTGGCTGTCAATCAAATTCTTAGAACCAGAGGTATTGATGTTGATCCCATTTGCAAAATGTGTGGAGAAAAGCAAGAAACTATAGTGCATGCCCTGTTTCATTGCCCATATGCTCAAACTGTGTGGAAACTTGCTCCTGTATGGTGGGATGGTTCTAAAGGCTCAGAGACTTTTCAGGATTGGTGGTGGCAGGTATGTCAATTAGATAATTCAGAGATTTCTGAAGCCCGTATTCAATTATCTACGTACATTCTTTGGTGGCTTTGGAAGTTGAGGAATCTGTGGGTTTTTGAACAAGTCAGAAGGCCAGCTCAGACCATAGTAAGGGTGGCAGTTCAGGATTGGCAAGCTTTCTTGAGGAATAGCAGATGAAGGATCTTGTTGTTTTTTCTATTTTTCTTTCTGCAGTCTGTTCTGGATGTGATGTTTGTGTTTGAGGAGGTAAAGGTTCAGTAGATTGTTACTGCTTTATTTCCTGGTTTAGGTGGGGTTGTTTAATTCATTTGTTTTGTCTTTGTTCTAGCCCACCTGCGAGTGGTGCTTCCAATTTCCGGCTGTTTGGTTTGTTTATGTTTTCAGTTTGTGTTGTACTTTGGCTTTGACCTTTTGTTTAATGAGCATTCTATCGTTGGAAAAAAAAAAAGTCAATTCATGCGCGCAGCCCAAGCAGTCCCGCGCGCAGGCCCTCACGCGCTAGCCCAGCAGGCCGCGCCCAGCACCCAGGGCCAGCGCCAGCTCGTGACAGCCCACCTTCTTGAGCCCAAATGACTAAGTTCTGGCCCATTTTCACCCAAGACCCAATGCTGCGTGTATTAAAGACTTAATGAGGATTAATTTGAGCTAAGATGGCCCTAACAAAGTTTAAGGGAAGTCAGCATAGCATGGGAATTAGTTTAAGTGTAGTGCATGATGGGCAACCTAATGTTTTATTAAAAAATAGAAGTCTTTGTCTCCACTACCTAGCATCTGACCGACCAGACCTGCTCTGTAACGCCCCAATCGATTTTAAAAGAAAATCCATTGCTTTTCCAAAAATCGAGGTAAAAAATTTTCGAAACTTATTTTTTGAATCATAAATTTTTGACGTTACTCATTCCTTTCATAAATACAGTTCAAGTCATAACTGAACTACGGGGATTCATTACCCAATTTTTCAACGGTTTCCATTAACCACAAATCGATAAATTTAACATCAGATCATACTCAATCATATATCAAGTAGGGTTTTTCATCGTAAACCAAATCCGAAAGTTTTCCAACATGAACAAGTTCAAAATCCAATCCAAACAAGTTCAATACCAACATAGTTCATAAATAAGCGGAAGCAATTTAATAAGCATAATAAATAAGCATAATAAGCAATGACCACCACCCGTCTTGTCTCGTCACGTGCCACTGCTTAACCTGCATCAGTTACGAGCAGGTGGGAGTGAGTACAGTTAACTATCGTACTCACACTATGCAATGCACATTTTATAATATGTCAAATTGGCATGGTCGCAACATGAACACAAACAATACACATATGTCACATCTCCATCATAACATAAATACTCCTGTGCACATCTTTCATAATAGTCGCGGTAAGAGGATTCATTACCCTAACGGCGAGAGTACGTGCCACGCAAGGACACGACCTTTCATAATAGGTCTTTACAGAGACTTGTCTCATAAGGCAACCGTATTACATCGACGGGGACAACCGTAACGATGGCCATCATAATAGCTCACATCGATAGGCTACATATTAACGTTCATACATAGATCACGCCAAAACAATAAACATATTTAACACACATTGCACAGATAATTTTAGAATAACAGCCCACCTGGAACTCGAGGTAGATAATCGCACACAATAACTGGTACGTAACTCGAGGGCTCGACTACTCAAACACCTACATTTAAACGAGATAGTAATTAATAATTTATCTCACTACTCGGAATTAATATATAAATCACACTTAATCAAAAATAATGATTAAGAGATTTTATCGGATTTTTCGTGGACTTGGAACTCTCAAATTTTTTAAAAGAAAATGACTCGGAGGACAAAAATAGAGTCTCGGGACTTAAAATAATTTTCTCCAATTTTTTTTTTTTGAAAATATTTTTAAAATTGAAATCGGTACTAAAAACGGGCTTCCGGAACATAAAAGAGGTTAAAAATCAACTTGGGCCGAAGCTGCCAAGGGACTTCGCCAATTGGGCCGTGGCTGGGGTGAAATTAGGCCCAGAATCACGGTCTGTTAAGGAAAAAGGAGCGCAGGCGGGCTAGGGTCGGGCTGAACGGCCCGCGTGCCTCCTGGTTTGCTGGGCGGAAAAATATAAGAAGGGTTACTGGGGTGGGTTTCGAACCCCAGACCTCTCGCACGAAAGTGAGAGGCTCTCACCACTGCACTACACGCCTGGATGCGTTTTTAAAAGAACTCATGGTCTACTAACATTAAAACGTTGGGCTGCAGTAATAATAAAAAAAAATGGAAGGTCAACAGGCCTGGCCAACTTGCTGCGATAACGAACAGAAAAAAAAAATTTATCTCTCTCTGGCAGCGAAACACAAACAGAGCACCTCAGATTGCAGAATTAGTTCATCCAGCCATGGATTTCGACGGCGATTTCAAGCGCAACCGATGTTCGAAAAATCACGAAAATATCCACAACAAACCAACTTTCAGAGTTTCTAATAAAAAAAAGATCTGGAAATTTTGGAACGACGATTGAAAGGCCCGAAACAAAAGAACGAGACTCCGAAAATAATAAACGGAACCCCGAAATACATCATTTCCACAGGAACAAAAGGCATTCGATTTTAGATAACTCTCAACATCAAGGCTCGATATTTTCGACAATGAAAGTTCCAACGAATCCACGATAACTTAACGAACAAATAACGAACTGAAAGAAATCCGACTTCTAACAAGAATTCGATTCATCGCACGATTTAGCCAACGATTAAATACGAGTACGAACAAAATACAAAAAGGAGGTTCGCCAATTACCTCACTTCAGGAATTTACGAGTTTGGTTGGAGATCGGACGAGGTGAATGGAAAGCTCGACGAATGGCTCGACGGCGAACAAAGATAAACACGGCCTGCTACTTTCCCCTCCCGAACAGAAAGGCTGCGTTGAGGGACGACGAAGAACAGACTGTGATTGGCGCAGAAGAAGAAGCAGGCGGCGGAGTAATTTAATTTTTTTTTTTTCGCGAGATTAGAGAATCAGGGCTATGAAGAAGATGGGATTTTGAATGTTCCAAGGACTGAACTTCGGCCATATATAACAGATCAAGGGGAGAACGTGCGCTTAGAAATCGCAACAAGATTTTTGATCCGTTGAAGATGACGACTCGATCGCGAGGAGAGGGGAAGCAGTTATGCGGATCTTAACTTCAATGGGCCAAGGATGATTTATTGCACAATGGGCCAAGAATATTAACTCCATTTTGGGCCATATGGAATTAAATGCAAAGTTGGGTCTTGGAGTTAATTAATCAATTAGGCTTGAAATAAATAGCACAAAAGGGCCAAAGGATCAATTGGGCTGAAACTAATTAGCACCAACGGGTATAAATAAATTCCAATTGGACCGAAATAAATACAGCGCGATAATAAGAATATTTCGATCGATACTATTGACAACGAATAACAAATAAAATAAAATTTGGATATTATTATAAAATATATTGCACACTTTATTAATTAATTAATAATACACATTTTAGCATTTAATAGACAATTAGGCATTTAAATAAAATAATAACAACCATTAGGCATTTAAATAAAATAATAATAATAATGGCAACAATATTAAATAAAAATCTCGAATATTCCATAAACGAATGGGGCGCTACAGTCTACCCACCTTACAAAGAATTCCGACCTCGGGATTCGAAATACAAACTACGACACGAATACAAACGAGAAAAAGAGGGGAAAACATCAACATATGAAATTCGGGTGCCTCTTCCGAATTTCGGTCTCCCTCTCCCAAGTCGCCTAGCCTTGACCACCCTCCCGCTGGACTTGACGAGTACCCCTCCCAGCCTTATCCTAATGGACCCTCTGATCCAATAGGTCACTGGTACCTCTATACAGGTAGGGTTCTGCCTATCACGCAGCTCTTCACATCTCACATATACTCCGAGATCACGCACACGTTTCCTCCATCAAGAGGCACAAAACGTGTCATGCATCCTCGCGAGTTCCGGTGGTGGAGTCAACCATTAGGCTAAGTCATCGACTTGGCCGAGAATCATAATAAGACTGAGTACGCGTGGCAGTAACCAGAACAACGACATACTCCACCCATATCCGTACCAGCCACCTCACATGGTAAGGAATTCTCACACTCTACTCATCTATCAATACACAAGACCCTAACTGGTCCTTTCGTGTCTCGATAGCATACTCCAACAAATCAACATATAGAGTTGACTTATTGTATCGAGATTCCATCCCGTGCCCGGGCCACGGTAGAGAACTCGATTTACTATGCTGACATGATCCGCACGTCCTTATAAAACAGGCCGCCACGGAAAACCCATATGGATGGACTAACAATTCACAATAACACTGTATCCTCAACACCGATACCTACAGAACACACTGCTCTGTTTGATACCGTTGACAACCACTCTTCCTTTGCAGACTCGAATATCACCTCGAATGCGGTTTAGGAAATATCGTCTAGACGTTCGAAAACAATCTCCTATCGCAAAATTTCATGATTGGGGATGCTCGATATTCCCATACTAACGATCTGACACCAATACTCTCTCATTCTTCGTAGGTCTCGATCCCTACGAAGTATACCTAGTCTCCAATCGAGACTCGGGACACTGCCCGAAAACGATGAGGGACCTAAATCTCGCTAACACGAGGGAATTTCGCATAAGACAAAGGAAAACTAATCAACAAGTCTCACATATCGAGAGTCATTGATTAGGGATTTCATACCACGGTTCAGTTTGGGGTTTAATGCACTGTCACCCGAGAGATGACACACACACAGGCGCTGCATAAGCGGGGCGCCAAGACGTGTGCATGCATCTGTTTAGAGACCAGCTGCAAGATCGAGGTTTGGCCGTACACATTACCTGGGGATTCCTGCGTTCGGTGATGGCGGCGGCAGCTCTCGTGCGAGTCAACGGTCGGCCACTGCAGTTGGCCTTACGTCTCCCAGCACGGGCATGCGGTTCGACCACCACTTCACGTGGCTACACCCATCCAGGTTCGGCGTTCAGTTAAGGTACATACCAAAAATTTCAATTTCCGGTTCATAATCCTAGGTACTCAGATAGGAAAAAGGGTTCGATACCAGACTTCTCGAACTACAACAGTTTAAGCATTACTGTTGAGCTACATCTCCCATAGAAATCAAACATTGGCATCACTGCCCGGAAAAATCCTAACCTCGGCGGTCGTCGCCGAACATAAGAATGGTTAACTCGCTTGACCCTTCCGACTAATAATGTCGGCCGTCACGACAGCTTTTACTCAAGTAGCTAATCATGCCGGTGGTCCTAAACGAGATCGACCACATATACAACTATAGCCTTTACACTTCAAGGTCTAGCGTAAAGCTTCCCTCACAAGTGTTTCCAGCTAACATCATAATACCAATCAGATTAAGTCACATAGGGCACATATACATGAAAATTGACGAAAAGAAAAATTTTTGAAAATTCACAATTCATTTTGAAAACCTAAACATGAACTAGCACAAATTTTCAGCATGCGTGATAAATTTAAAATGCATGTAGCTTTCAGTCTACAAATCATGTCATGATGAAACCAATTGGAAAATATCCCTAACTCATGCCTCTATCACTTTCATGAAGAACACTTAGGCAGACAAAGTTATTTAAAGGTACATAATACAGCAAACATCTAAAACATGGGTGCAATGGATAAATAAAGATATAGAGCTTGTCAGGTTCTCAGTATATGCATAATAACCGAAGCTACAGAAATGATATTACTAAAATTTAAAAACCCCAAGGTAGCTAACTCAATTCTATACAACTTCTCTGAAGACCCCATTGGCAAATTATAACATTATCAACAAGTTTGAATATAAAACATTTAGTTTGCAAAAACAGCCAGAGAACAATTTTCGAAAATACAGCACCTTAGTAAAAATAGCAACACTCAAGCTACACGGCTCCAATTCATGTAAACTCAAAACCTATATAATCTACACATGGAAATATACAAAATTCATGAAGAAGACTGTTTCATAAGAACACGTTAGGTCACCTAAACAGGATACACATTCGATACTTAACCAAAATCCTGGTTTCATAAAAACTGGATGTACATCCCAATTAGAAAAATTATATAAAATCAACTGGAAATCCAAATCATATAAAACCAAATCCTACAGAAACTACAGAAGGAAAAATACAATTTTCATAAAGAACATTTTTACATATAATCACATTAAAAGCATCAATTCAGAGCATACAATTTATGCATACACCCAGCCACTGTTTCAAAATCCTGGGCATAAATCCAAATTAGAAAAATCATATAAAATCAACCAAACCTCCAAATTTAATAATTCCAATTCCTACGGGTAGCTTACATCATATACTACATTTGTCATGAATAACATATTTCCATTCAGGCACGTTAAGATCATCACAAATAGTCATGAACTAAAATCAAATCCTTCTGCCCGAGTTTATAACAGCATGCTCTACGGACTTTGAAAAATCATAACAAATTCATTTTAACCCCAAATCACAAAATTCCAAAACTCACAGGAACTTCATTCAGAGCACTACAGATATGATGAAGAACACTTGTCCAAGAAACATCATCTTATTCGGCAAAAACAGAGCCTAACTGAATCTCGAAAGATTGAGTTTTCATGCCTTCATCAACTCAAAATGATCACACAACATAACCTCGATATCAATACCTTAAGACTTAAACATTCGATATATAATCAAACACGTTGTCCGAGGTTCAACTCGGTCTTATTAAACAAGATAGAAAAATAAAGTCTTATGTCTTTCACTTGAATTATTACATCTTTTGGTTTGATAATATATAATAATTCACATTAATACATAAATTCAACCTCAATCATCGAAGATCACATATGCATCACATGAACCCGACTAAACCTATCATTATATAAACGAGACTCTCAACCTAACATACTTATCTCATCATATCACATAAATGGGAATCAATAAATCACATAATCCTTATCTCTTACTCAACTAACCATGCTTCGAGCTAGTGTTATGTACAAATTGTTATATTACCGAGTTCCGAATCGAAGGATTCGTTTCCCGGGTCGATCTCTTGAGGAAGGCGGTTCGGAATTTAGAATTGGTATTGATAACACAAAAAAGAAATATAAATCCTAAACACTCTAATCAGATTGGGGAGGAATTAACTATCAACTAAGAAATAGCATAAAAGCATAAATCTTAAAATACCAACTAAATAATAATAAAGAAACTAGGGAATCGGGGAGATCCGTTTTGGTTCGAATTGCAATTAATGGGCAGGTGATTGTTCAGCTAAGTGATTTGAATAATCGACACGTTCGAGTACTCATTCTCAATAACTTTTCGTAACAAGAGAACAAACTAGAACGGCAAATTAACAATTCATTTAACTCCTAGGCAATACAGTTACGAACAAGCCTAGTTCATACGAGCCTATTTCGACCGACTCCTCCCCTTTCAGTTCTGAGAGTCGATTAAAGTAGACTAGAGGGTGATTAACCGACTAATCAATTAGATTCCCAATTTCAAGCACGAATAAATCAAATTCAATTGAAACAATTGTAAGTTGAAGTGTCACCCTTCAACAATTATCAATACTCAAGCCTGATAATTGAAGAACCATAATAAAAGATTAACTCGCATGGAAAGAACAATCAACGAATGCCCACAATCACAAACGATTTCAAAACATCAATCCCCTATCCCTAGCATATGAATTTAGCCACTCATCATCAATTCAACATCAACATCAATATCAATCAAAGCCATCATCATCACAGATAAAATGAAATAGAAAGCTTACAATTAAATATGAATCCAATGTCGAAAGAACAACGAACAATCCAAATGCACGAGTCAAATCTTGGTGTTTTCACAATCCAAGATCAATTCCAAGTGAAAGATAAGAGAAAACTGAGTTCTGGGGTGAAAAAGTACGAGAGCCAACTCAAAACCTAAGTGGAACGTCCCCCAAAACTGATCAAAATCGCGAAATAAAAATC